AATGAATACATGAATAAAAATAGAAACTTTTAGTTAACTAAGTTATTTAATGTATGAATTTTTAAATGAGAGATATAACAACGAAACGTCAGAATAACTACGACCGAGTAGAACCAAGAATAACTGCACAGTTTGTAAAGATGCTTGTAGTTGATGTTTTTAACGAATGAAAAACTTTGGTAAAACTACAAAACAGTATTAAATATGAAACTTAAACCGAGAGAAACGACGTAAGTACCAAAACGATTTCAGTGGTAAGGTAAGATCCCTGTTTTCAGAACGTTAGTGTAGTAGTGTGTACGCCGTGCCTTGCAGAATATCAGGCGTATTAATAATGTCTCCCAAACGGAAAAATAGGTGCGCCATGTTTAGACACACCACAATTATGTACTTTAAACGCTCATAAAATAACCACTTAGTAGTGAGTTAATCTTATGCTATAGTGTTTTATTAATGTTATACAACGACATAAAAAAGGTTTAACATCCATTAAAACATAAATATTCAAATAGTTTTTCCTTTGCCAAATTATTTTTTAAGAATACATTTATCGTAGTAAAAAGCCGTCCACATTCTATAGATAGGTACCTACCTATTATGATAATAAAATGAATAGGTATATCGGTATTAACACCAAGAAAAAAGTTCATTGACTCGTAAAACTCCCCAAATTTATTGAGATGGACTAATTTGTTTCGCTTTTTCAACGAATATTATTTCTTATAATATGTGTCAGTATGTGTTAAAGAGACCAGCGAACAGTTTAAATTATTAGATATCACGTCAACCAGAGAAAATATGATGATGGTGGTTTTCTTTTCTTTATAGTAAAAATAGATTACATAGATTTTTTTTAGACTTATCAGACATCATTCTAATACAGGCCAAAGCTAATGTATAATATTAGATACTTTCTTGCTGTTTTTGTTCGGCAACCCTTAGGAATGTAGTCATTTTCAGATATGACAAAGGAAGAAGGTCATTATTATGGTCAAGAAAACGGAAACGGAGGAAGCTAGGCTTCGGGATATGGCGAGTTGGTATCGCTGAAGCCTCGACCGGGGTAACCGGACTGAGGCTCCCGTCTGATCCTAGTTGTTCCATTCTCTAGTATTTTATTGTGAAGGACATCCTTGTACTCAAATAAAACTTGTCACTGGAGAAATTACAGTGGCATATCTCTTAGAGAAGAATCGTCCGCGGTCCTCATAGATAGAGGTATAAAATGAAAAATATATGTTACCCATCATTCTTTTTTTTTGGTTAATAATCGACCTAACTAATAAACAGACAATTAATAGTTACACATGTTTATTTCATTGTGATTTTACTGGAACTAATGGGACTAGCATAAATAGCACTCCAGTTCCATGGAACTTCTAGGAGAAAAAATGTATCAGACGGAGGCTTCAATAGCTCAGAGAAACCGGTCCTATTATTGTGTGGGGGCTCTCACATAATCCCAAAGTGAGATTAGGGGCATCAACTGAAAAACAACAAATCATTACAAGAATTAAAAAGTGACATAAAACCGGTGTAAACAACTTCTTGTTGCCTTTCACAAAGTGTGTGAGATTAAAAGAACTCAACAACTTCCCCTATCCTCCCGGGTTCTGAGGAAGGGTACTCAAAGGGCGGAACGCATTTATAGTTCTTGAGTTGCAGGTTTCCAAGGGCGATGGTAATCACTTACCATCACTCGGTGACTGACGGTGATCCATCTACTCGTTTGTACCCTATACAATAAAAAAAAAAATAGTGGCACTCCGGGAGTGCCGAGAAAAGTAAAAACTTATTTGCTTAAATACAGAGGTGTCGGTAACGGTAACAGTGTCGCGAGTTCAATTGTTATTTTCCCATCTCAAAAAATACCCAACTTGCCTAAAAAAGTTTTTACTTCAATATATACAGAGGTGTCGGTAGCGGTAACAGTGTCGCAAGTTAATGGTTACTTACACTTAAAAAATGTTCCCAATTGTTACAATATGAAACCCCAATTTCCATACAAGTTATGCAACATTACCGAATTGTTTGAGACCGACTTGCGAGCTTCATAGTAATGGTGAGGTTTTAATAATTTTCGAAACATAATTTCAAATATAAGGACTAGTCACAACGTCATAAGCCGGGTAGTACACATAACTGTGTCCGTCAGTCCTCACCACTCCTATTCACCCGTAGGTGTCGTAAAAACCGACTAAGATAGCAAACTACGCAGGACAACAGCACCACAAAGAGAAGAAAACTTGTTTCGCACGTAGGGTTTGGTCTTCCTTATTTTTAGAATGTTCTGGTGTAGCAAACTAAACCGAATACTCCTAATACTCAGATTATTATGCAATAATTAAAATATTTTAGTACTCAAAAATCAAAAGAAAATTACAATTAACTCAGGTCAACGTAAATAATGCTTTAAATTTCCTATTATAATCAAAATACTTTTTCAAACTAGAAGTGCTGGCCACATCAAAACTTTTTCTATAAAATAGTTCGCTCAGTTTCGCTCCGCTCACCCTAGCGCTACCCTTTGCTGCTAAAACTATATAACGAGTTAATCCTTCACACGGCAAAGTTCTATGCCACCCGTGTTGCTGCACAGTTGTTCCATAAATTCTGTAATAAACAAACTTTGTAATTAATATAATAATACTAGCTTTTTGTCATAGTTTCGTAGGAAGATTTAGTTTAATATAGCTAATAAAATTCCCCATTAATCTTTTATCTGCTACATAAATTGTTTGCACGTTCAATCAAATGAAACAAAAAATGGTCTAGTGGTTAGTGAATGCTAAGCCAGTGGTGCCAGCCAGTGGGGTTCGATTCCCACCCAGGACAAATAATTGTATGATGAGCACGATCATTTGTAACTTATCTATGACTAGCGATCAGCCCCGGCTTCGCACGTGCAACGTATAAACTACTAATACTAATAACTTGGTGTCAGTGTGAAGTAATTAATTATATTATTATGATAGGACTATACTACAGGACATCTTGAAACGCAATATTTATAGGCTCGATCCGATCCTGTTTGGCGGTTTAGCCCCGCATTTTCAACCTGTAATATCTTTTAAAATATTCATTTAATTTCACAACGTATCTAACGATACGTGACGATTGGATAAGAAATAATAATGTATTGTTTAAAATAGCTTCGTAAATAACCCATTATTGTTTTGTAATATTTAAAAGATATTAATGGTTACTGTAGGTTATCGTTAGGAGATAGACATATACCATCGCAGACTTTATTGTGGATCTTTTTAAGATGTACAATTCCGTAGTACGTTATTTTGATCTATCTCGTAAGGTTCAGTCAGCGTTTGCAATATAAGCGCACAAAACATGTTTTTACGACAAATCTTTGAAATTTTCGGATTTTCTCTACTATAATATGCATGTATTATACATATAAACCTTCCTCTCAAATCACTCTCTCTATTCGTGAAAACCGCATCAAAATCCATTGCTTAGTTTAAGAGATCTAAGCGTACAACACAAAAAGCGACTTTATTTTAAGTATAAAAAAAAAGTCGCTTTAATAGACGTTACATAGTAATGTAAAGATATGGATACGTTTAGAAAAATACATATATATAAGCAGGTTTATCAGTGGTCTGGTTATCATAGTATAAGCTCTGCCTGGTTTGGGATCAGACGGCCGTGTGTGAAATGTTTGAAGTTGTTATTTGCGAATCTAAATTAACATAAGTATACCAATATAAATACGATCTGTCTATAATAAACTTGTATATTAAGTAGAAAACCAAAAGATAAACCATATTTTGCTGGATCTTAGAACATCCGACAGGAAGTTTCACCATAATGTTAGTTGGGCACGTATCTTCTTAAATGTTTAAATAGAGTTAAGTCCGAGTTAGTCACGCTCTTTCCAACGTTAAGACTGACTTTATCAACTCTCCAGAATGTTATTGAGGCCTCAGATATCATATGATTACCGAGAAGTTAAAGCGGCTACAATTTTAATGCGCTCATAAACTACAAGGTCAAAAGCAAAACAGCTTCATTCAACATTAAAGTTGAAACATTTGGCTGTTACCGCTTACTGCGATGATATAAACACTACCTCTTGTCGGTTAAGAAGTCCAAAGGTTAAGTAATAACATCATAGGTTGCTTACGGTATATGATATTCACAGCGCCACTATCACTATCACACTATAAAAATCAAAATACAAGTGATAGGTGGTAGGATGGAATCACATTTCAACCAAAACCAAAATTAGCCCGATACCATAAAAAAGATGAGTTTATCACACTATCATGTTACTTTATTGACCATTTATTTCAAGCCTTAGGTTCGTTTGTAATGATTGAGAAATTAACTTTACTTGTTTGTGAAATTGATTTATTGAATTCTTTCATAAAAATCAAAAGGCGTATTCGACTATAATATTTATATAAGTGTTTATGTAAGTCCTTTGATGTCACAATAAAGGTGAATTCTAAAGATGATAGGCTGTCAACACTTGAAGGGTCTAAAGACATCTATCTGAGGCGGGCCATTCAGAATTTTTAAGAAATGAGCACGTACTTTAATGATTGTTGAAGAGACCGCGCTTTAGAAGAAGTGGTATAGGGATAATCGTGTAATAAATACTTATTAAAATATTATATTTTCGTTAGATATTTTTCTGTCCCAAGTTTTGATGATAATTAATATTGTGATGTACGATGTCAAGTAGGGACAGGGATTCGTCAAGTGTAATTTATGCTAAAACTCTTCATATTAAAGAGATGTATTAATAGTTTTTAAAAACTTTATTGGTTGACCTTTTCATTTTCACGCAAAGTATATTTTAATTTAGATGAAGTATAATTTTTAAATAAAGATAATTATGCATTTATCTTATAACATATTAACAGTGATTTCTTTTTTTTTCAGATTTTACATTGAAAGAAGATTCAGAATTCATACAGCTGATGATGCGCGGAGCAAGCGGTTCTCTCGACCAATGAGAGAGCAGAGCGAGAGCATGGATGGGCCGTAGAATGCGCCTCACTCCGGCGCTCATATACCTGTTTCTTCTGATCTGTACCGGGAGCTATGCTTTTATACCAGGCGTTGATGGTGAGCCAAAACTTCACAATTATAAAGATATCTTATTTATGTGCTTTTAGGAACCTTTTTTTATAACAATGGCTTTTTTAAAGTGATAAATCACATATTTTATTAGCTGTACCGTGGGAGAGCCATATTTCGGCACAAATGGGCCGGCCCTGACCAAAGTGATACCACGGCCTCACAGAAAACCGGTGTTTAGCAGTTCTTTCGTTGCTTTTCACCGAGTGACTGAGGTCACCTGGCACAAACCCCTCCTCCCTCTGATTCTAGGAAGAGGGAATCAAGTGCTGCACTGCAGTTGTCATTCTTGAGTTGAGGTGTCTATGGCCGGCGGTAGTTACTTACCATCAGGTAACTCGTCTGCTGGTTTGCCACCTTATGATCTAAAAAAGCTTCATAGTTTTTAGATGTAATTTTTAGGTACACTTCCTCTTAAATGCATAAAAAGCGAGGACTTGACGACGTAAATAAAGAAAACCAGTTCAGCTATTCGAAGGGCATGACCTTTTTCCTAATCACTAAAAGGACTTTCCAGTCGGTGGTATTTAATTTTTTTATTTGTGCTCTTATGAGATAAAACTGTTTTCCACTTTTCCACTGAATGATTAATCTGCATGGAACGGCCCGTTAACCCATCAAAGTATTCTAAGTAATACACGTGAAAGAACAGAATACACATTAAGCTTATTCTATGTATCAATCTGTACATAGAACTGTATTTATTTACTCTAAGTACTTAGCTTACTGGCTAAGTTTAGCCATAGAGGAAAGTGCAATTAATATTAGATTAGGTAGACCAATTAAGCTCTCCCTACTGAGTAAAGGAATTATTATTAATTCCGTGTAATGGTATATGTAGGTACTGTAGCCATTAGAGCACTTATTGTAGCTTGAAAACAAATTTCATAATGACGAACATATTTCAGACGCTCTAATTCCAAAATCATAAAGTTAGATATTGTAAATACGAAAGCTCTATCTCCGAATACTGTTTTAGAGTACCTTATTATAATTTAAAAATATAATGTTGGTTAATGTTTGACGTTTAATAGTGAACACACTTTTTTGAAAGCAAATTACATTAAAATAATGAATAAATAATATACAAACCTTTTTGGATGGCTAATGGATGACCCTAGCTAATGGCATCTTCAATCACAGAATTGAGATATTATGTAATATGAGTCTAACTTATTACTTTTTATCGTGACACCGGTCTTTTCAAAGGACTGAACCCTAAATCCCGTTGTCCAATCCGAGACTTATAATATCACCTCCTTGTGTTATCGTATTCTTAGTGCTAGCTAACTAATTTCTTTCTTAATTTAGACGTTTTCAAAAGATAAAGAAATATTGTTATAACATTGTCTGTATTATTACTTTTATCTAACTAATCTGCAATCGTACTGTATCAAATATAATAAATCAGCTTCGCTCCAGTCAATTGTAATAATATTTCTTCATATTGTAAGATAGGTCTTAAAACCGCGAATTGCAAAATATTATTTTCTATTTTATTTAGATATCTTTGAGCTTATCTCTCTATAGACATATCTATTTAGATTCCTTTGAGAATCAAGAAAAGACATCCCAGCAATCCAGTGTACGATTGCAGTTTACTAAATAAATAAACCTAACGCTTTGTAAGAAATGAGAAACACTTCAGGCCTCGGGGATTGAATGGTATTTTATAAAATAGAAAAGGATACGAGTAGTTCGTAGAAGATAAATCCAGAAACACTTGAGCAAGTATTCCAAGCCGTGATATTTGTGTAGGTGTGTAAACCTGACCTAAATATAAATTTTATACGATAACCCGAGGTATTCTTCTTTGATACAGTGATCTTAGACTGTGACTTAAAACAAATTATTTTATCAAATAAATTGTTCTAAGTTATGCATTTACTTGTGAACATGTAGCAGCTAATGTTAATACTATGTCGTTCGTGACTTAAATATTTGTAAAGTTCTCGCATACAGAGATATGCCGCTAATGTTATTTTGAAAAATAAAAGAAAATCCCAATATTATTTTCTAATGATGAACGAATACTAATCATGAATATTTTCTTAAAACCAAATCAAATAATGTTAATAATAATCTATATATAGACCTTTTTTAGATGGCTAGTTAATGATTATGCTGTAATGACATCTCCATTCTGTGATTGGAAGTGCTACTTTCAATCACGACTTGGCCTCTTTGAACTACTAAATTCTCATTCCCATCCGAAATTTGCAATATCCCTTACCCTAACTCGCTCTATCCATTTTTCTTTGTCCCAATACATTTTCTTTCTTTGTCGGAACAAAGAATTTCTAAATGAAAACATTTCCTATTAGATCACTAGTCAGCGATTAAAAACACCAGGCAAAACTCTTAACAAATAAAATAATAAACGTGCAATAAGATGATTATGATAAAATTATCGTTTTGTCATTGCAAATCAATTCATTTGTTTCATAGGTCCCGTATCAAACGTGCAGGCATTGGAAGGGGGTGACGTCACGTTGCTGTGTGATTCAACCCCAGACTCGTTGGACGATGAATTTATGATCCTGGTCTGGTACAAGAATAACGTGCCCATCTACAGGTATGATCGCCACAGCACCTGGTGTGCAAAAATCAGTAATTAATAAAGTTTTGATTGAGGACAGTTTAAATCTGAATAAAGTTTCAGAAATCCCTCATATTTACCAAAGTATAATTTATCTTCCAAAACTAATTCTGAAGTTGCCATTTCATCATTACCACTGAGTTTGTAGGCAAAAAACGAGAAATTTTTTCATTACTTTAAAATGTACTTAAAAATATAAGTAATATTTGCGGCGGTTCTTCTGGAACATTCTATATTGCAATGACTTCTACACTACTAAATTACATGTTTCATTTATCAAACATACAAAACACTCATAATATCTCCTTATAAAAAGATTGCATTATAAATTGCTACAGTGTTAATTAAATTAGTGTTCTGTTTTAATTACTATGTTGTTGGCAACACCGCCTACGTAAGCCTAATGATGAATACACAACACTATGTCAATAAACTCTCAAACACAGCTAACGGCTGATATTTTTCAACACAACACATACTCGCTACAACCCATTTAATTTGATACACATTTCCAGCAAATAGATGGATACACTAACCAGAAACGCAAACAAACTTTAAGGAATATGTATTTATCATCTTAGACTGTTTTTGAATTTATGTTATAGTGTACGAGCAGAACTCTTAAACCTACCGAATGACATTGTTTTACTATAGTTACGTTCTTGTTGAGATCCAAAAGAAAATGGCGGTTAATGAGCACTACAAGTCTAATAATCTTATTATTATACTATGTATTGTCTCGCCAGAATTTCCTGATTTAGTCACAAATACATAAAAAGAAAAACTCAATATTCTTTAAAGTAAATTTCACAAAATTTTGATGAACTGAGCGCATGACACCTCATCAACGTTAGAAAATATAACATTAATAATGTAACACATGTTTTACGTGACCTAAAATTGTAAAATTTATGAAAATGTATATAGGTGTGACGGTTTCGGCGTTGTTAAATTTATTCAACGCTAAACATACGAAATCTTGATAGACTTGTAAATCGAATCATTGGAAATTGAATACCGTATTACTATGCTTTAAAATATGAAATAAGAAAGGAAAGAAAATCCAATTCCATCCAAAGATTGCCTGTAAGACATTGTTCTTTGTGATAAAGCCGACCTACATACACTTGATACATTCCTAGCAAGCAAATATTATTGGTTATTTCAAACCTTCAACTTTTCTGAGTTATGTTAAAATTGTCTGTAAATCCAACAGCTTCGAAATTCCTGACAAACAATGGTCAGAACCCTCATTCAACACAAGCTCACGTTTGCGCGCCGACATCCTTGCGCAGCCAACAGCTGTCACTGTCACCTCGCTCACAGAAGACGATGAGGCTATGTACCACTGCAGGGTTGACTTCAGGCTGTCTCCTACTAGAAATGTGGGAATCAATGTCTCTGTTATTGGTAAGTTTACTCGAGCCAAACTTGCATCCAAAAATTGAGAATTTTCTGACTCTGAATAATTAATGTTACATTGTGTTCGGTATTTTTAAAGCTGAAAGTTAGTAATGGACGATTTTATAGCCTTATTTATCATCTTTTTAAAGTTCAATATTGTAGTTTAAATGAATGCCCTGCTTATACCAGAAAAAATGTGTGTGTCAGCTCCGACGCACGACTGGAGTTTACTTCTTAAGAACGATTCGGCTGCACACAAGTATACAAGTTATACACACACATTTGAAAGGTGCACATAAAAACTTGACGAGGTCATTCGATCACTAAATTTTACTATTCATATTTTTTCATACCGAGCGCCGTATATGAAAATCGATTCTTAAGGAGTAAACTTCAAAAAAGATGGAGGGGCATCTTAAAAGTTACCTTTTTCAGGTTCCTTATTCAGGAGTGATGCTTTCTAGTGTTCCTAGAGTTCAACACAAATAGTACTCCTAACTATAAAGACAAATTACCAGACTTTTAATATTTTAGAATTAGATTCACCAAACACTTCTTATTCTTACATTCAACAATTTATTGTTTCAATTAAAGTGTACTGAATTATGCAAAGACTGTACTTCTCTGAGTGTAGAACTTACTAACTAATAGACAAATAAAAGAGAGGAATATTGCTGATCACAAGAATTTAAGAATTTAAGAAACATAAATTCACGTACTTTGTACTTACAAATTTCCTTACTGTTTTATCTTTTAAGTCATCCTATAATCAGGCTTCTTGAGGCATAAATTTGCAGACGATTTCTTACAAAAGTATATGGTAATACTTCGATAATATGGAAACATTAAGCAGAACAAGTGAAGGTAAAGAATTGTATCAAGGTTGTATGCGATATACTACTATATATGCGCTAATAATAGCGCTCAGGAACTACTAGTTCGATTTGAAAAAATCTTTTAGTGTTGGAAAGCTCATTTATCGAGGAAGTCGTTTAAGTGTCAATGTGTTGCAAAAACGGGGATAATTATCGTTGTTTAGTGTGAGAGACATAGGTGGTAGGTACTTCGTACGATACGGTTTGAGCTAACATGATTAGTGTTCCTTGTCGCTTTTAAAATGTATGTTGCAAACTGTCTTGTTTTGAATTTTATCTCTATTGCGCTCTCTCTCATGAGTATGAGAGAGAGCGCAATAGAGATATGGGGTGTGTGTGTACGTGTGTGTGTGGGTGTGTGAGTACACACCCACACACACACACGTACACACACACCCATACCGGTCATAAAACAACTTTTATATAGTCAAGGTTTATTGCTGCTAAAATAAAATTTATAACATAAATATATAGCAAACATGGCCATGATATTCGCTATAAAATACACAGAAAGAATCAAAGCTCACGCACATTTTCAATGTTGACAATATTGCCATAATGTTCGGAGGGGGGTGACTTAAAGGGCGGCGATAGTCACTTACCATCAGGTGACACATCTATACCGACTTTTTATCGAAAATGTACAAGAGAGTGTGTTTGTCTATCACGTTTTCACACCTCAACTACTCGACCTACTACTACTATGAACGATCGTGGGAATTACCTATTGAGTACGTGTTATCGTGGGTACAGAAAAAAGCAAGAGTACTTTTAATCCAAAAAAGGTACTTGCCTCTCTTGAGAGAGGAATGACTTTCCAGTGAAGGATACTTAAATAATCTTTGCGGGAAACCATCATTGACCCACGTGGTTTTATCATTTTCACTTTTCACGCAAGTTAAATACAATAAAAATAAACAGCTACGAACGTTGTGTTTGTTAAAGAAGAGTATAAAAAATAAGAGCTAACACTCTCCTTGAATTGGTCATGAAATATTGATAAAACATATTTTGTTAGTTCTATCTTTTCTTTTTCTTATTGGAAACGTATCGAAAAGTGTTTTCTTAGAATAAACAGCTCTCTAAAAAGCTCAGCTCAAATCAACTTACGAAATAAAGAGCTGTTCTCAGGTCAAAATACAAATATATAAAAACAACTTTGAACATTGTAATATTATAAAAATAAAAAATAAAGGTTATATTATCCTTTCTATTTAAGTTGATATTGTTTTTCATTTCATCACGATTCTCATAAACTGTGTTAAGTCTTCATTGTATGGTCGAAGTTTATATCGTCAAAGTATCAATCGTTTCTTAAATTTCAGTAATTTTCAATTATTCAATTAGTAATGAAATATATTTAGCATTTATTATACTGGTATTTAGCAATTTTAAACAAATAAAAAACAACCTCCATTGGTTTGCGCTGGCATAATAATATAAAAATTATCAAGCAACCTGTAATTTTCGCATAAAGTAGAAACATGAACACATTTAATAAACAAAGAAAAATGGCAAAGAAGTAATATTTTTAGAAATAATTATACAAACACTGTTTTAAAACAATACAACTTTACTCAAACCCGTCGCTCTATGAAACTTTGATTGACTCCACTGTACAAACTAGATCCAGATTATAAATATCAGTTTATAGAATCGGAAACATGGTATAAGAGAAATTGCCTTGACCAATCGATTAAACTTATCTGACATAAAATCTATCAAATCAAATGTAGGTAACGTTACTTTTCACTCAAAAATATTTGTTTTAAAAGTCATTAATCACGTCCTGAAATCTAATAAATCAGGACGGATCTAATGAAATCCAAAGCTATATGTTCTCGTAACACGTGTAGGTACCGTAAAATACTTGAAAAGTAAAGTAGTCATTTATTCGCCGACAGCGAGCTCTCACCAAACGAGGCCGAAAATTGAATACACCGGAGTTCTTTGTTTTACCTTACATGGAGATTTTATTACACAAAAGATTTATTTTTATACATTTCCACCATTTTTTTTTCACTCGTTCAATATTTGAAACCGTTACCTACATTGATAAACGTTTCATTTCAAAGCCCGATGAATTTGAATAAAAACCCTTGATTTCAATAGGCCGCAGCCTCCAAACCGACAAACAAAGATTTATCAATATTTCACTGCCATCGCCATGACCAGTCAGCAAGACTTGCAAAATTATAAAGATAGACAGGTATATTTAATAGTATATAATAGACACAAATCAGATATGACGCTTTAGTCGTTTGTGATTGTAGAAACCTATTGCATAGCTACAAAAATTAGGATATTCCAGATTTACAGTGACCATTATCGTCTCCGATACCAGACCTTATGGGAGGTAGTTTGTACGCAAAAGTAATCACATGACAGGGCTTGTACGCGTTAGGAATTGTTTTCAGTCTACGACAGACAGGGGATAGGTCGGGACACAAAAAGTTTAGTTTCTAGTTTTACTAGCTAGATCACTAGCTAAATTAAATTGGTCAGGGTACCAAATTGGTGAATATATATTTAGCTACCTGACCATATCATAAGCTATAAAACAATCATCTGTTCTGTTTCTTTCCGATTCAAAAATTAATCAAATTCAAAAAGCAATATCCATGGAAAACATTCTCACTTGGCTCACCATTAAACTGAAACTGAACTTAAAGAGACGTCTTTATTTTCTCTGTTATTACATTTCTAATTGTTAAAAAAACGATGCCCGCAAAAGTTACGCGATTAATAATAATCGTACGTTTTACCTCTTCTTTCGTAATGTGGTGTTGCCACTAAAAATCACCCCGACGGGAGACCTAAACCGCTATGCTCTGGGGATTACCCAGACCATTTGATTTCACGGTCCCCCTCGAATTAATGCTATACCCAGATTCGCTAAAAGGTTACTAAATTATTTTCCTGATTGTGAAATGATATTCCCGACTAACAATCCCATTCGCTAACAACCGCTGTAGCAGTGATTCATTAAGCGTTCAAACAGCCGTTTTCAACTCTCTCTGTGTATCTACAATTAGCATGAATACTCACATACGATACTCGAACTGACATAAATTAATCAAAATAGACTAATATTTAGTCAGTTCTAGCTACAAAACTTAAGGGTTCAAGCTACAAATTTTGTAAACTGTTTCAATTCAACTGTAAACTGCAACTGTAAACTGTTTCATTCAACCATTTCAATTTCTTCTGTCTTCATAAAGAAATAATTTTCAACCAAACCGGGTCTTTGACCTTTGTTTAAGATATACAATTTTTGAACAATTTTTAGAATAAACGAACACTAATTCCCATGTGTTACATCAATTTGACACTGTGTTTATTTTCATCTGTTTCTACCTACACAGCTACTATGATTATTTACGAATGAAGACTTCAAAGAAACATTACGCTTACACTTGTCATTTGTTTTAATTAGTATTATTATTATTTGAAACGTATTGGGACATGCCAGCAACACGAATTGATTAAACAAAATAATTTTATAAATCAATTCGCATCTGTTCTATAAAGTATCTTTACATAGGTACATATCGTGCATAAAATATGAATCAACCTTTTAGAGGCCCTCGGGAGATAAACGGAACTCGTAATATCACTCTTACACGGATATCCATCTGACTGGCTGTCACATCTGGTTGCTTTGAAAATTATTCAGCAAAAAACGACACACGTGTATTGGTATGTCTCATTGATTTTCTTTTATTCCCTTATGAGACTTTGTACGGGGTAATTTAGCGTAACTATTTAATAATTGGGTCATCATGATATTATTGAGTGAAATACTCCCGGACCATAAAGAACCATAATGCGTATGTAACGCATTTTGGTTCTTTAAAAAAGTATGCCTCGATAAAAAATACCAGGATGACTGTCAGCAGGCAGAAGCAGAGAACCATCATCGTGATAGCCACGACGATTCTGACAAGAGTGATACGATACTACGAAGAAAAAAAATGTTATTGTATTAGTAATTTCTTTTCGTATACTCAAAGAAACAGCTACCAATTGGCACTGAATGTCTCGAGTTATTTTGTTGGTTAGAACAATTAATGCTCTTATTCCAGATAAACACACTTATTTATCGAAGTAAGAACGTGTGCTACCTTTAATGAAAGCTTAACAGCTCATAGGACCTTTGTTTTGTTTACCTACTTGTGGAATCTTTAAGAAACGACGCTGGGATTTAGATAAAACTTTTTATGCATGTTTTTTTAAATAAAATAAATATGATACGTTTTAGACATTTTCTGTAAACTTTAAAAGATGATAATAAGTACAAGTATATAAAAATACAGTTATTAAAATAAAACTGTATTTATAGGAGAACAAGGAAATGTTCATTATAGAACATAATGACAAAAGTTATAAGTTAAAAAAATACACACACCCTCTTAAATCATAAAGTAAATTTTATTTTTACTTGTTTTCTCACATTCTTATAAATGAATCGCCTTTTCGGAACATAAGAATGCGGTATTTAAACCAAAAAAATGTGCTTTAGTAATGTTATACCGAAATCTTAAAGGCATGCCCATATTAACTTGTACATTCTACTTCATTCACCCTAACTTATTCTTCTGTGATAGTAACTTGGACATAAAATTATTATCCATCTATATTTTCCTAAAAGAAACATGCTTTATTATAGAGAGGTCCAAACTGTGATAAAACATAGGCTCAAATCAATAATGTCTCTAAGATAATATTGCCGATTACGTTATCACTTCGGATTTAACCTTAGAAGTAATTTATTCTACAGATTCATCAAAATTCATCTTATAATTTGCCAACTTTTCAGACCTTCATTTGTTATCTACCATCAGAGCGATTAGTTTGAATTTGCTTCTACTGCCCTTTTAACTAATAATGCTTGAATAAGAATTGCTGTTAATGGTTCGTTATTCCTTTTTATTGTAGAATTTTTGTGTGAAACATTATTGTCAAGTCGCAAATTGCGAAATATCCCAGTAATAAAAATTTAAATAAATAAATATTACGGACATCTAACACATAACGCCATCTAGTTTTAAACTTAGCAAAGCTTGGACCATGAAAGCTTGATTGACTGATAGAATACTTTTATACTTTTTAAACAAATATTATATTATATACAGAACCAGTGATACAAAAATCGCTAATAATTACACTTATTAATCCTAGGATCAGTGAAACTGCCCGTGAAATCCGCATTAAGCTAATCTATACTAATATTATAAAGCTGAAGAGTTTGTTTGTTTGTTTGTTTGAACGCGCTAATCTCAGGAACTACTGGTCCGATTTGAAAAATTCTTTCAGTGTTAGATAGCCCATTTATCGAGGAAGGCTATAGGCTATATATCATCACGCTAAGACCAATAGGAGCGGAGCACCAATGAAGAATGTTTCAAAAACGAAGAAAATTTATTACTATTGAGAGACGCAGACGAAGTTGCGCGGGTCAGCTAGTGTAGTATATTAGTGGAGTCAGAAATATAATTAATTACCATACTTACCCTCAAAGCATAATATAACTAGTTTTCTTTGATTGTTGTTTTTTTTAAAATAAAACGCAATAATAAAACAGATAATTTTCGAGGGGTAAGAAGAAGACGGGGTATCAACACTAACCCACACGAGGAGACAAAAGACACGCAGTTACAGGTACTTCCATTAGGGTCACCTATGGGTCACCATCAGCTCGTTTATCCGATATAACATAAAAAAATACATTGAAATGTTTGAACTCACTTGTTTGGTAACAAATCTAACACAGTTCAACGACTCAATAGCATACAGCAACTCTAAAAAATTTGCATAGCGAATCGTTAGTGACAATCGTGGGCATGTTAAAAAATAAATAAAATAACTTTTAATATTAGAATAATGTTGGTCATAAACTGAAAATTGTCTTGTATTGGCTTCGTACGAGATAATAGTATTTTGACATGATACCTTCCTATTTCCTGGTAACTCTAGATTTTGGTTAAATTACATATTTTTTACCGGCATGACAACTTATTAAATTCAATTATAACTCTATTTTTATGAAATACTTTACTGAGAGACAAAAGTGACAGACGAAAACGTTTTTTGCAGTCTGATTGAATTTCATTATTTTTCTTCCATTAAAGTGACAGTTCAAATAATGAATTTAAATTATGTGTCAACTTTGTCAACTTTTTTAATTCATTTCTTTGTTTTACTTTTATAATACTCTGAGATGGCAACACAACTGTGTTGTTACTTAAAAGTATTAGCCAGGGAGACCTCCCTGGCTGCATAATTAATTAATCGTATATCACTTGAGTTAATACATAAAACAAAAGAAAAACCTTGTCAGAACAAAATAATGTGGTTGTACCAAATATTTTACACAGCAACAGACCTATTACAAAAAAAGCTTTTGGACAACACGTAAATCATCTTAATATCTACAGTAAATAAAAAAGCATATCCTCTGACGCCTCGTTTAAAAAATTATGATGGTTACATCTACTCACCAACCACCACCACCACCACCAACAGCCTATAACAGTCCACTGCTGGACATAGGCCTCTCCTTAGAAAGGAGGTTTTGGCCTACATCTACTCAAAGTTATTAAATAAAGTAAAAAGTCATCGTTAAAGTGCGTAAAAAAGGCTTATTAAGATTGACTGACATTTTCGTAAAACAAAATAGATTTATGAATGTGATCATAAATAAATCTATTTTGTTTTACGAAATGTTTATCTATCATTTCAAAAGATCAGAACCCTATTTTTAAAGCTTATATGAACTTACAGAGCAATTCCCAAGTAAATCAAATTTGTACCATTCAGAAATTTACGTTTTCGTATCTATTATCTACCCAAATCTGTAATAATAACCTTAAACATCTCACACACAGCCGTCTAATCCCAAACTAGGCAAAGCCTGTGTTTTGGTGACCTCACATACATAAATTTCTAAACACATACATATCATAGATAAGTTACACCCAAACACAAAACAAATGACCGTACATCACAAAATTTTTGTTATGGGTGGGAATCGAACCCGAAGTGGCTCAGTAGTAAGGATCACTAGACCAACATACCCTAAACATAAATTGTTTTTTTATGCACATGTTCATTCATAACTTGTGATTATTGATTCCAGTACTGCCAAGCCTTCCATTTTTCATGGATGAGATGAGCAACAAGGTGGGGGCACGAGTGGGGCCATACCACGACGGAGACACATTATTACTGCGCTGTTTGGTCATAGGGGGTGAGTCACATTTTCAAATATACATATTCCCAAACAGTTCTTCCTCCGAGCCTTTTTCCCAAACTAGGTTGGAGTCGGTTTCAAGTCTACTACGATACGGCTGAACTTTTTAGGGCCCCAACTACCATTACGACCCAACCACGATTATCACAGATGTTCGTATGCCAACAATGACGACGCGTCGGTCCCGATTTCAAAGAGTATTTATTTTAAAGCTAAATATGTAAGAACACTTCTTTAAGGGGATCTTTAGATGATATTTCTAGCATCAAAAGATGGATAGGTTCCTTGCCTCTAGGTCTGTGCATAAATAACTTGTCGGCAATGCCTTGAAAATAATTCATCACTAGGAAAACATAATTTTTAAAATAAGGTGACAAAGAATTTTATAAACGCCAATGGAATTATAATATTTGAATCTGGAAATGGCAGGACAAGATACCTCTCTCATCGCAGAATCACTACTGTTAAGTAGCTTTACTAATTAAGATCAACACGTTACTACTACTGCAATTGCAACACGCTAGTGATGCCACCGGTATTGATCTTCACACCAGTAACCACAATTTTGTTTCCCTTTGACTAAACGGTTGAACCAAATATCATGAATTTTAGTTATACGTTGTCAGGTAAAAGAAAATAAAAGTGCCGTTTGAAATGAATGAAAAAATCAACTTGACACGAGTTAAACAATAGGTAAAACCTTGCAGTTCTAAGTTTTTGTACAGAATTTCACATTTTAGATTTCCTTATTTATGTATATGTTTATAGTGAATGTATGACTCGTCTCACAATTATAAAATATTAAAGGAACTGCTGCATAATTTACGAGTGATTCTTCCAATGATAAAACGGAAATGAAAATGTATTTTTAATTGGTAGTTGTACCAATTTAATACCTACATTCATCGGTGCGACATGACACAGGAAAGCTCTAGTTGCAGGTCGATAACTTTCATCAATATTTACTGTCCTACGTGAACTGCCTTAAGCCCTGTCTACTCTGTATCTGTATGAAAAATGTGAATTACGTTAGGGATAGGGACCAAAGGGGCAAAATTTGTTTTACGATGTTATTATACACATATTGATGAACGATATTACATATTCTTATAACATTTGTCTGTATAAATAAGTACGTGATTAGCGTTGCGCTACCTGAATTGCAATTTATTAACCCAGTGTAACTTCTGTACCGTTAGGTACTATTATGGTTTCTGTAGGCAATCATTAATTAAAAATGAATGCTTTGACAATATCAAATGTAACGTTTTAAAGAATGTACAAGTTTTTACAGATTACAGATACGTTTTGTCCTTCGATGAGTTAAAAAAACTGCTTTGACTTGTCAGTCATGAACCGTATTAAAGTCGACTTAGATTGAGTCAATAAATTGTTGATTACTTTTGAATAGAATCTCATTTAAGTAGAACGTAAAATCAAATACAAGGAATATAATTTGCTACAGCTGAAAGGAACGTGTCTTTGAAGATTACCATCACATTTGCCCGCGAATGTAGTTAGTAGAAACACCCACACCGCTGTGGGAGCAAGTGCGAACTCGCATTCTTCTTCTTTTAATAAATTCAATATTTTTTGAAAAAATAACAAACTTTTGTGTATTTCAGAATTGTTTTATACCAGAATCACAGAACTGTGTACTAGCTTAATAGGTAAGCTGCTTACATTCGCCATTACAACTATTCGTCTATACCATGGGTTTACGGAGCATGTTTATTTGCCCTCACTTATTTGCCCCTTGAAGTTGTTTGTTATCATAAAAACAAAAAAATAAACAATGCAGTACTAATCTAAAGTTCAAGCCCCACCAAAGCCTCACCACTTATCAAAGTGATTATTACAAATCCACCATCGGTTGGAGACTCGTTAGTTGTACAATACTTTAGTTGTCATTATGTATTTCGACTCTATTATATCGATATAAACGCTTGGCTTTTATATGTATATTATATATCGGTTATCGGGTTGAAATTACAAGTAACATTGCATCGTATGGAATACAGACTCACATAAAAAAAAATACGTAAAATGTACAAAATTGTACGCTCATTAAAAAAATTTGTACTACAAAGACTTACGAGAAAACAATGATCAAATTGATACCGCTAGGAAGCATACTTTCTAGCGGTGACAGTTTATATGTATTCATAAGTAATATTATTGTAGTATAAAAATATTTTAATAGAATGTGCTGTTTGATCAAGTACAATCAAAAATAAATACAACACCTTGATTACATTAACTAGAATATTAGTACCTACAACAAAGTTACCATATTATGTATAGCTATACTTACAATGAGAATGCAGATGTATGTTGCCCAATTAATCATCACTTTTGCACGTATTAATATACCAAGTAAGAGTACAAGTATTAATAATTACTTATATTACAAGTTATTTAAATATTTTCACGTTTAAATGTATATAATTAATCAAAACCTTTAATAAATCATGTACCATCAAAATGTTTTTATTTTACCATGTAAAATTAATTAGTTACTTACATTTATTTACACCTAAAATGTTTTAAAACCTGAACGTACACTTCTTGTACATTTTTCTGCTACATAGTGAAATAAATTGTCCCCTCCAGAAACTGTGCTCCCCAGGGGTATCAATTTGATCATTGTTTTCTCGTAAGTCTTTGTAGTACTTTTTCTTAATGAGCGTACAATTTCGTAAATCTTTCGTACATTTTTTGATGTGAGTCTGAATTCATTACCATGCCATGTCACCCTAGAAAGTATGGCACGAACATTAGACTCGTACAATTAATTAATGGAGGTAAAAATCAGAAAGAACTTCCATGCTTTGTGTCATTTACTCCATTTATTAATACGTTTAAACACTACTTGATTTTACTTTTCTACTCTGCATAAAAAAGTAAACGTTGCTTTAAAAAAACATATTTCGTGATCAAAGTTTTTGTCGCCTATCTACTTTTGTTATTCATACATAAGCACCATTAATTATTATTCAAACTGTTTGACAGGTTTATTAGCATTTTTTATATACAATTTTACTTCTTATAATAATAACGTCATAAATACTAAGTGAAGCTTAATTTTTCAAACGTATGCTCTAGAAGAGAAAGGAATAATTCGTAAAATCAACTATTCGTATTTTTATTTACAGGATTAACTTCAATCCGTAACTTTTTATTAACGCTACAAATTCGTAACGTAACAAAGATAGACGTGACGTCCAACGTTTCATTGTCAAATCGTTTCAAATGTGAGAACCATAAAATTAATAAAAGCGTTGAAATATACTGTTATTTTCAGAATTTAGCGGTTAGGTAAATAAAAATGCATAAAAGCCTAACTTAATTGTGCTTTTGCAGGCATGTGTGTAACACAACTGTCAAAGGCACAATTAAGATATTAGTCAGAATTTGTTCGTTTACTAATTTACTAATTTGCTTCTAATTTTATATTTTTTAAACCTGGAATTTAACATGTGACATAATTATCTGTGGTAATGTCAAACAAATACGATGTGCCTACCGAATTGTTCAACATCGTCCATTAGCGACGAAATGTCCAACCACTTGCCAATAATCGTCAACTGTTCGACTTGTGACATTCACCATTACCACTTTAATTTTACATAACTGGAAACGACATTTTGAATTAATTCAATAAAACGAGTTATTTCAAATTTAATTGGTTTGCTTACTATTTCATAAATGTCAAGAATAGCCGAGGCTCTTGTCTATTTATATCACAATAGGAAAGACGAATTGTTGAGGTTAATTTTCTTCTGTTTGTTTTAGCAATGTCATTTTGTCAATCCAGTTACGCTTAAGACTTGCAAGTTAGTTACCAATGAATGGCTGCACACCCTGAAGTATGAAGAACTTGAACTTATGCCTAAACCACATAATTGCAAATAGATCTTGCAAATTTCCTCCAAAATTTTCCACCCTCACAGTAACACACACACACACACACACACACACACACACACACACACATACACACACACACACACACACACATACATACACATTAACAATTCTGTTTTAGTATAGTTTGTTTTGTTAGTTTTCTATGGTTATTGATGGACCTGACGGCCCCAGGCTGGAGGTGGCGTTAATGTCTGCAACACAGTTCTCTTAACTAATGCAGACATTTTCGTAGTGTTAGTGTTTCCTTTGTTTTAGTTTCCAATAAAGCTTTTATTTATTTCTTTCTTTGGTCAGATATTTTTTCTTTCTAAATAATGTGAGATTGGCTACGAAAAGATACAGGGATCCAGTATATAATTATAATGATCTGTCTTTGCACGAAAAGTCTATTCAATGATACTTCGAGTTATAATGGTCAATGAAATAAAATAAAACATGCTAAACATAATGAGCTGTTATTGAAATATCAGTCTATACCTACTAAACAAAAATTAAATGTTTAAATGTGATTTATTGTGTAAATAAAATGAATTAAAAAGTCTACACGTACATTATTATCAGTGTAGACTTTTTACTTCAATTAATTTCAGCTTTATAGATGAAAAGATTATTTTCTGGTTGAAAGCCCTCATCTTTGGAACAATTTTTTATGGAACAAATTTTTTCATAAAATAAGTTTTGAAAGCCTATTCGTGAAGAAGGTTAACGCTAATTAACATCACGCTATGACCCTTAGGAGCATTGACCATCAGCGCCGGTGAAATTAAAAGGATATGGGTTGCCACACGTCAATATTTACGAGTAAAACTACTCGTACATATCGCTCATTAAAAAGTACAATGACATAAATTCATTATGTCGTTGTTCTATCTACTGTCGTTGTTTTAATTATTTTTTTGATAATATACGAGGCAACAGTTCACCTGATGGTAAGTGACTACCAGCGCTAATGGATACCTACATCTCAAGGGTCACAAGTTCTTTGTCGTTTTGAGTCTCCTGCCCTCAGAAGTTTTGGGGATAGAGGATTTTTGGCTCTAATGTCTGAAATCTGTAATGATTTTCACCGAGTGAGTGACACAATAAAAGCCACGTGCTTTTATTGATATTTATTGTGTTCTATAAAAAATAAAATAAATATCAATGAAAGCAAATTAATTTTACGTACGTAATAATGGCCTCTCCTTAGAAAGAGGGTTTGGCCTACTATACCACGCTGGCCAGGCGGGTTGGTATAGGGTTTGTGTCAAGTTTTCCGTCTTTTTGCAGTGCTAGTGTCCTGCGTTGTTTTGCGCCCTTAGTCGGTTCTTCTTCTTTCTAAGGAGAGGCCTATGTCCAGAAGTGGACTATTAAAGGCTGTTGATGTGTGATGTGTGATGTGTGTGTAATAATGATTACTTTTCTTCTATTTATTTTAGGCCGGCCTCCACCCCGCATAAGCTGGTATTCTGGTGATACTTTAGTGGACGCGTCAGACGGAGACAGTGATATCCCTACAGTGAGGGAGAACGAACTTTATCTCCCTCTGACAAGAGATAACGCAGCCGCCCTGTCATGCAGGGCATCCAACACAAACCTGGCGCCACCTATTGTTGCAACACTGGAAATTGAACTGTTTTGTAAGTATATAAATATTTTCTTCTTATTACTTCATCTTAATACGACCTCTTAGGCCCGTATTTTAAAAGGTGTCTCAGTCGTGAATCTAGTCTTAAAACTAATTTTAAGTAGAGATTTTATTATTAAACGTCACTTAAAACGAGATTCACCGATCCATACTCAAGTGAGTGATAGCTTATTTTAGAACGATGTTTATGTCGAAATCATTACTCAGGTATAGATTTTGACAGCTGTGATCTTTGTTTACGTAAGACAAGCTGAAACTAGTCTCAAGCGGTGATTGTTAGGGCATTTAGGGAAAATTAATGTGTTTTACGAATGATTAACTTGAATAATTGAATAATTACGAAAGATTAACTTTACTTTATTTACGAAAGAATTACTTGTCATACTATAATCAATTTCACTTTAATTTACCTTTATTGATATGAAATTCACTAAAATCCACATTTTACACACACAATATCAGTTTAAATTACCACAACCTTTTGGTTTATGTTATAAAAGTACAGTAATATAAATTTCAGAAATATCAAATAAAAACATCGTTTGACATTTCAACATGACAAGTGTTGATAAATAACTTGAACGTTCCGTTATAGCCTATTCATACAGCTAGTCATTTTTATTTTAATATTTATTATATTTAATTTTGAACCAACAACAAGCTTGTTAATATGCTAACATTTTTACACTAGCCAATAGTATATTATATACAAATTCACAGAAATTATGTTTGTAAAAGAAAAGTATTTTTAAAATAATTAGCTGCGTAATGCGGAATAATAATGTCAATCATGCGAAAACGTAATTGAGAACAGACTGTAAGTTCAAATCAATACTTGAAACTAGTTTCAACTGAGTAAAACTTAAAACGCGTTCTATAATAAGATCGATACTTAAGATTTGATCTGCACTTAAAACTAGTTTCAGGCAATCAGAGTTCAACCGACACTTGAGACGTCTTTTAAAATACGGGCCTTAGAGTTCGACAAATTCTTAATTCATTAAATGATTATTGCAGGTTTTCAAGTCTTTCTGCTTCTTCGTCTATATAAGTAGTTTCCTTATAAATAAACGTTATATTATTAGGCTAATGGTATGTATTGTCGATCCGGGTGGTGACGAAATCAATATTAATCGTAAGAGCCGACTAAGGGAGCAAACTACGCAGGACAACAGCACTGCCTAAAGAAGTCTGGCCAAAGTGGTATAGTTTGCGCTCAATCATACTTATCAAAATGAGCACATAAATTATGTTTTCGCCGGATATCTAATTTTACTTTTCTTCATATTCACCCATTTTTATATGGGAGCTCATGCAACCCATATCTTCAAAAGGAATACAAAACTATGCTCGGTATGCTTCTTCCACATTCCTCTATAGGATAAAGATTTTATCTTGATACTATAAAATGAATCACTATACTTACAAATATTACTATATTTGCTCATAGTACCAGCCTACAACGTGTCGATCCACTGGGTTCGAGGCACAGTTGGTGACGCGCTACGAGCAGGATCGGTTGCGCTTGCTCAGTGCACGGCGCGAGGCTCCTATCCGCAACCAGAGCTGTCTTGGTGGCTTGATCGTAAACATCTCACGCATCATAGTAACCAGGTACTTCCTTATCTACTCATACTTCATCGACCGATCAACTTTATTATGGAGATGCTGGCAATTGAACACCATCTGGCTACTGATAACTAATTTCATTGAAATAATACAAAAATGTATGTAGTGATGAGACTACGGACCCCCGGTCGGAACGAAGTTCCTTTCGCTTTTTGGTAGACGTTTGCTGTATATATGAAGAATATGTGGGCGTCGACGCGCCAACTGAAGTGTCGACAAAAGTCTTATTACATATTTTTCGGTCTCGCCCCCATCAGCTCAGAGCGTGTAAAGCGCGATAAGGAACTTCGTTCCAAAACATAATGGAGCTACATAACACGAGTTTAAATAAATGATCGCGCAAAAATCAAAAATACTGATGATTCTCTCTGAATGTTTACTACTTACTACATGTCCTTCTGATTTAGAGAGAGCAATGAATACTTCATCATTACTGATATCAACTAAAATAAGCTAAGCTAATTATAGGAACTTTCCTAAAACAAAACCCTTTCTCATAACAAGTTGTGAATGACGGTACGAAAAGCGAGAGAATCAATTAAGCCAGTGATGCAAGTAATTACTCGCTGTCCATCACTCCACAGCACGGTGCACGGTGGTACAAGAATCGATTATGCTATAGTTAACTATTCATCTTGAAATTGCTTGAATTAACAATTCAGTATAGTACAAATGATGTTTATGCGTTTTTGCAAACAAACAGACTGTTCACCTGATTTTATCTAAGTGACTATCGCCACCCACGGAAAACTTCAGCTCGTCACAAGTGCGTTCTCAATCTTTAAATCATCCTCCAGCTCTAACCCCAGGGTTGGGGTCACTAAGGTTTAGCTGGTCGATTTGTGCCGACGCATAGCTCTTGACAATGTTATAAATTCATTATACTAAAATTTGTTGGTCACGTTCTTTTAATCGAACTTAGAATATTTTTTCAAATAATATCGATATAATGTAACGAAACAAAGCTTACGCCTATCATCGATAAGTATAACACTTTTGATCCAGAAGGAAAACACTTCCCCGGGAGAGAAATTACTTTTAGCCATATTATATAATAATATTTTATAACAAAACAGACGGAAATAAAATCAGTATCATATTAATTTACATTCATGAAATTAATTTAAGATCTCAACATTATTTCTATGCCAATTTACATTCTCTTAGCGAAATGAACAAAATAATGATACAGTGAAAACATGTAAAAAAAAATGTGAGATGACACGAAACAGGATTCATTCTTCACATTTTTGTCACAAAATATACGGATTATGTCAGTCAAGCTTTGTTTGAATCCTACGCAACGAAATTTTGCGATGAGGTTTCCGTGTAGTTCTTTTATAGAAATTTCCATATCATAAGCCAAATGTATCACGTAAAACAAGGTTACGTATTTTATACACCCAATCCCTGAAACTCTGTATTATTAATGACATCCACTATGTTATAAATATGTCTATTCAAGCAGACCGAAGCGATGTAAGATAACATCTCTGGCCTTAGAGTTGTACTTTTATTTTAGCATTGCTCATGAATGACATATTTATATCTAAATTATTTATTAGATACACCAAATGAAAGAGGCATAATAAATGTATATAATATTGCGGTAAATTGTTAAAAAATGTATGTAGTTTCTGTGACAACATTGCGTAGCATCCATTTAAAACTTGACAAAGTTTAAGCAATCATCATCATTAATGCAATAATATCTCAATGTAAAATTGTAATTTAAAGTGAACACTATATCGTTAAAGAAAAAGTTTTATATTTAAAATATTATCACTTTTCCCCTTGATCTATACAATACATAAAATTACCTGCCCTGGCCGATTCATCTACGCAGAGCCTAAGCCGCTGGGGCTAGAGACTTGAAATTTTGTTAGCTGATGCTTTTTATGTTATGCGTACCCATTAAGAAATATTTTTTATAAGTTTACCCCTAAGCGTTAAAGGGATGAAAGGTTGTACGGAAGTTCGTCATTTTTAAGGATCCGTACCTCAAAAGGTAAAAAGGGAACCCTTATAAGATCACTTTCTTGTCCGTCTGTCCGTCTGTCCGTGTGTCACCACCGATTTTCTCAGGAACAGGTAGACTAGCAAGTTGAAATTTATACCAGATACTGTGGTCTATGGTCTTTATTAGGTGTATAAAAATCAAGGTCCTTAGTCAACACGATTAAAAGATATGGGCAAATTTCGATTTTCGCGAAATTTGTAAGTACCAAAATTTACCTTAATTTTCAACTTTTTTATTTTTCAGAATTTTCTATTTACTTGTGCTGTAAGATCTTACTTTTAACCAAAATTGACTATTCTAGGTCAACCGGCAGTACCCTATAGATTTTGGGTCGAAAACCTATATGGTAGCTCCCGTTGACCTAGAATCACGAAATTTGGCAAATAGAAACGTCTTACTTTGAATAAATAAAGGAATAATTCCAAAAAATAAAAAAGTTGAAAATTAAGATAAATTTTGGTAATTAAAAATTTTGTCGAAAATCTGAGTAGGTACGGCACCCTCGGCACACGAGTTCGACTCGTAATTGACCCGTTTTTTAAAGTTAGCAACACGAAATTAGAAATAATCAAGCGAGTGAAGACGAGGGTATTAGCTAGTTTTTTAAAGACATTTATTACTTTGTCTACTACTGCACTACTATGAAACAGGAGTTAGATTAAGGGCCGTGAGCCGCTACACTCGTGTCAAAGCATAGTTCAATGACCATTTTTTTATGTGTGGAAACACGCTCGGGCCGTCACCCCACCGGGGTTTGCGGCGGGGTGGTGTGTCGAAATCGGACCGATTAAAACTCCACGGTGTGCCAGTCTGCGCCTGTAATAGAAGAAATCCGGGAACCGCAGTTTTAGGACATCCGGACCCAGAGTTCAATGGTCATAAGCCAACCACTGAAATATTTAACTAGTGATGACGACTATGTGTTATATATTGCTCTTGACTTGGCCATGAAATTAACTACACACACGCACACCGTAAGACATTGGCCTACTTCACAGTGAGATTCTGAACACATGATACCAGTATCTCAAATATTCTATTAGAGCAAAGTGTGACCCTCTCGTGTGGCACTCATTGCTCTCAGATCGATTCAGAAATCCATTGCAATGAGTGCCCTCTGATCAATCCATTAAATCGTTTTGTGTTCTCCGGCAATTGAAAGAGAAATCCAGAAATGTCTCTAGGTATATTTATTTATATTATCTTTTCTCTTATCATGACTCACTAACTTCTTTACTGCAATTACAGACATGGTCCAATTCAACTCTGACGGCAATATCATTCTTAGAACTGAACCCAGCTTTGAGTGACAACGGTGCTACGCTAGCTTGCGTGGCAACTAACCCTGTAATGGCACCCAACAAGGGCTCTAAGGCTGATGTATTTACACTTAATGTTACTTGTAAGTATTAAAAATATAGAGTTAAGGAAAAAAGGTGGTTGTTTTAATGCATTTTGGATTCTAACAACGTTAAACTACAACATATATCATTATGTAATATGATTATGAGTAGCATACTTACGTTAAGAACGGACAGAGTTCGATGAAGGAGTCCGAAACATACTTTATATTCTGATACATCTGTTTGATTGATCTATTCAATAATGTTTCAAGTTTGTTGTTATAGGCACAAGACAAAATAAAACTGTAAAAACAACGAAGATTAAATACAAACTACAAAAATAAGAAGGCCTAAAATAAACTTTTAAACCTATTGGAATACAATTCTATAGCTTTTTCAATGTAAAATTTTTAATAGTTTTTCTGAATTACTTTTGAGAAATCCATTTTTTGGTCGTTAATACTATTACTTTATTTTTATTATATTATCTATTTTTTTCATTTTATAGTAGGAAGTTATATAATTCTGTTATAATTATTCTATCTGTCATTCTTCTTTATATTTTAATACCAAAGTAATGTCTTTAATTTCTTTTCCAGATAGTCCAATGGTAGACGTAATAAAATTAGGAGATGACGGAAATGGTAACGTCGTGGTGGAATTGGACTCTTTGAATTTGGAGTGTGAAACCAAAGCGAACCCACCTGTCGAAATGTTCACATGGTATTTCAATGTACGTTTACTGTCAACCAAATAAATTTTTAAAAAACCTTCTTTGTGAAAAGCATTTGAATATTGATCATCTCTTAATAGAGACTGCAAATGTTACACGAACCTTACAAATGGAAATGAGCAAAAACAAGCTAAGAGGATATGAGCAGGAAGATGTATTGAAAAGTAACCGCCATTGCTATGATCCAAGCCTTACCAGCATTGTCAACAAATAGCCAAATATTGCGCAGTATCCAAATAGTGTCTAAATACACAGTGACCATTAGCGCTACTAAAATTAAACAAAGAATGAACCACCCGTAAACAAATATCATTTACAAACCATTAAGACTCACTTTCTAATTTTTTCCTCTCTATGATATTTTAGGATATAGAAATCAAGCCAGGTAGTATATGGGGTGACAACACGTCATCCCGACAATTGCTGATAGAGGAGGCGACGCGGGCGCACGCTGGCCGCTACGCTTGTGGTGCGGCGAACACTATAGGAGAAACACGATCTGACAACCTCAGTATTACTGTTTTTTGTAAGTACTACATATTTAAACAAAAATGAGTTCACTGAAGTCACTGAGAGTCAACTGAACTCTATGCCACATCACATCATCACATCAACAGCTTTTAATAGTTCGCTTTTTTGGCCTACTATACCACGCTGGATACACGGGCTGGTATAGGGTTTGTGTCAAGTTTTCCTTCTATTTGCAGTGCTGTTGTCCTACGCTGTTTGCTCCCTTAGTCGGCTCTTATGACACCCGCGGGATGAATAGTATCCTTAAATTGCCACCACATGGATAGCAATCCATGTGGTGGTGGAATTGGTGTATACCAAAATAAAACCAAAACGGAACTCTATACGAAATAATAATAAATCATTTGGTTGAGGCTGTATTGGGCCAAAGATTAACAAAGGTAAAATATAATATAGTATTGGGCCATAGATAAACGAAATATACTCAAGTATATTTAGTTTATCTTTGACCAAATACTGTATTATTATAATTTACGTTCCTTCGTTTGAACGGAGGAACGTAAAATATAATAATAATATATGTATAATATAATGATATAGTATAAATGACGATAGAAGAAGACGTTCAAATGTGGTATATAGTATGTGTATGTGGTACATATTGACCTGTCATGGTACTGATATATATATATACAAGTACAATATAAGTTATACCGATTATTAAAATATAGAAACAAAATAACCAGGTCATCTCTAGTATACAATCGTTATTTTTATATTAACTTTTTTATTCCTATCCCTTGGTTTTATAAACGTTATACCGCTGCAGAACATTTTAGAATCGAATGGAAAGATTGTAACATTTTGTAATGTTCAAGGACCTCCAAATTGCGAAAATTCATAATATATCAAATTTTCTTTATAGACCCACCAGAATGTACAGGCGTCGGCATCAGACTGATCAAAGAAACAATCCACTGCAACGTCAAAGCATTACCAGCTCCAGAAACCTACTTCTGGCATCTGCAACCTTCGAACTATGAAATACAGCATCTTACTACAGGATCTTCATCGTTATCCCTGGACACGATCACAGGGCCTCTTGCAGAGTCCTTGAAAGCCTCATGTGAGGCCAGTAATGGAGTAGCGTCGCAAGAGGAATCGTGTGATCGGACATTCAGCTTTGAACACCTGCGCCCTCCGCAGCCAGAACAATGTGATATTGCTTATGAGTTTGGGGAATTCCAAATGAAATGTATACCAGGTACGTTCCAAATTTAACAAGAAAGGATCGCAGCTCATTTCGTCGATGAAACAAAATAATTTTTATAAAAACTCATTCCAATTCCAAGTGGTTTTTTGATCGATTAGAAGCGCAAATGACACCGGCTACAAGTTCTATTTGATCTTATACGTTGTTCAACCAGTTCTGCACTTCAGGCAAGAAATCTGAACACATTTAGTTTAAAAAGGATATTTTTTTAAATTTAGTTTTCGTATGTTGCCATATATGTTACCATTCGCCAAAAATGAATCATCTTGCTCATAGTCGGTAATATCGTTCCTCTTTTTTATTCAAAATTTAACAGCTATTGTTGACATAGTGAAATTAATAAAACTTATTATTTCCATTTTTTAGCACAATAATATTTCAATGAGCAACGAGAGCTTACTTAATCGGTTTTGAAAAAAAAACCTTGATTTCATTTATTATCGTTGTTACGTTGTACACGGATTTTGTAATAATGCACATGTATTTTTAAGACGATTTATTTTTAATATTAACTTTTTAAAACTATGATAATACAATTTCAGTTGAAAATGCGACCTACTACGAGGTGTACGTCTGGAGATTATCAGAGAGCAACTCGTCCTTAGTCCTAGAACGTCGCGCCAGTATGGGCTTCGGCACGGGGCGCGCTCTGGCGGCCGCCGGGCCCGGCAACAACGCCGGCCTCACCGCCGGCCGACTCGCTGTCAGGGCAGCCCTCGGGAGAGTACGGAGAGGAGATGAAGCCGGAGCCAGAGCTTGCAACAGATACGGATGTTCGGCGCCGCTACTACTGAGGCCCACGGACACGTTGTTGCATCAAGCTGATCCTCCTTGGTGGCACTGTAAGTATATGTATTTCTACCTTTCTCTTATGTTTCAGTGCCTTTCAGTTGTAACGTAAAAGTAGAAACATAGCGTCAAAGTTCTTTAGAGGACAGCAGAAGGTAATAGTACAAATGCCGATTACCCCACCAAGGGGTTGTGTTCCAAACCAAAAATAAATAAAGAATAAATAAGCAGACAGTCTTTAAAGTTGGCTATATTTAGGTGTTTTATACGTATCTGCTTGACACATATTGTTATTGTTTTACCTGTTATTGTTTACCAACATCACAAATGAGAAATAATACAATGTTGAAAACAGTGACATCTAGTGAAACGTTATGGAATAAATGTGTATTGCACAGGACTAACTTACCCTTGTTATATTCGTGGTAGTGTCACTTCCCATGCACTTCCAATCATTCCGTTAAGCCAAAACAATGGCCGTTTAATTTTTCAGAGATGCCGCTAGTAGTTGGTAATAATTTTGATAACTTTTGCATGCATGGAAACACCCACTCATCACCAAACCTCCTAAGTTTCCTTTCTCTGTTTATTGCAGTAAACGTGTACTGGTACAAAATGTCTGAGTAAGAGTTTCGTTAGATTTAATAGGATTTTTATTTACTATCAACTCTTCAAAACTTCAAATGTGTATGCACACAGATTCACGAAATGATTACATTTTTATTTTTAGGTACATTACAAGCTCTGTCTAGTACCCATTAAAAAATCATACCATATCATACAGCTTTCATGTAATACCTATTCTTCCTTCCAGTTTTCCTAGAAAAGGATGTTGGTATATCATTGGGTGCAGTGGTTTTAGTGGCAGTGTTCGTTATATCGTCAGTGTTAATGGTACGGCTGGTGAGGAGGCCGCGCCACAAGCCCCCGCCCGTCATCCAAGTACTGCAGCTCGATGACGTCGCTAGGAACTATTTAGATAATATTGGAGGTAAGTTCCAAATCCTAATTACAGATGGTACTTTTTAGGCCAACCACTCTCTAAATGTGGTGATAATACTTGGAAAAAGTAAAGTAACTTACTGATGGAGAGTTTAGTCAATGTTACAATAGGAAAACAAGCTCTATTCCTGTTTGTATCTTGAATAAATGTATCACGCTACGGCCTCGCAACTAGAAAAAAAAGGACGTATGTACACGGCTTCGCGCATACGCTTGTCATAAATAGAGCTTATTTGATACCACTTAGACCAAAACCTACACATAAAATATTAATCATAAAGATTTACCAGAATCAACAATTACTTCGAATCCGATAACTTCGCCAAAAAATGTACTTACCAAGAAATTACATAACTTTTCCATAATTGTGAAGAAACTTTTATTTATGCTTTTTAGAACACAAAGTGCATGCATCCTGCAGCTTGCGATCCTGCAGTAGCGGCTACTCCGATGCATCGGGAGACTCCGGGCCCCCCGTCGACCGGAGACGCAAGCCAGCCTGGGAGAGGTGGCACGAACCACCCCCACCTGACGTCACTCTAACTTTACATAGGGAAAGTGCAGTGTAAACTTTCATAAGAACTAAACATTTTTGTGTCCGTTGCTTAATGGTATAAGGGAAAGTGTACGACTTGAACTCACTATATTTAAGAGTCATTTCATGTTGAATAAGTAAAGATGATTCATTCCATATGTCAATGTGCACACTACATTCGTACTCGATACGTACGAATAGACTCCAGCCATTTCGTTTACATAGTTGGAGACGATCAGTTCAGTCCTTAGATACTGTCAAATATTCTATTGATTAGTAGCAATATTTTTGTATTCCACTGCCCTATGATTATATAGTAATTTAACATATTATGTCACATTTGTTTACCTCATTTCAAAAAGCGTATGTTTTCAAAATAGTTAATAATTATATTTTCATACTTGTTGGATTTTTTTTATATATTTTCTGACATCTGACACACAACGCCTTCTAGTTTCAAACTAAGCAGAGCATGTACTATGAAAGCTAGATTGACTGTTTGTAAATACATACTTGTTATACATAGAAAACACCCAAACGCCGAAATAAATATTTGCAGATCACACAAACATTTGGTCTGCCCCGGGAATCGAACCCGAGACCTCTGCACAACAGTCACATACGCTGCCACTGCACCACCGAGGCAGTCATTTTAAGACTTTTTAACTTTGTCTTTTATTCTATCCCTAGGATATAGAATATAGGGGTTAGAATAAGAAACATCAACATTAAGAAAAGACCAAGATACAGGACGTAACTCTAAAAATAAAAGGCTAAAATGGAAGTGGTCGGAACACATGATCAGAGGAAAGGACAAATGAAGCAAAATAATTATGCAATAGTACTATTGTAGGGAAGGCAAAGGGAAAAGAGGCAGACAACGATGGGACGATGTTATCAGACAGGTTGCAGCCATAACATGGAGTAGAGTAGCCAGGGAGAGATCAGAATGGAGTTGGAGTTGCCAACTGACAAACGGACTTACAGAGAGTAAAGAAGCTTCTTTACATTTTTTACGTTATACAACTAAAATTTGGTGCTCCAAATACGCCAATAATTTTAGTTGTATAAAATATATAGATAACAGTGCAGTAGTGTAAGAAACAAAATTCTATATCTATTGTCCGTATAAACAGACTTTATTATTAGTATAACTTTGTCTTTGTTTTGCATTGTTGATATGAGAACATTAACTAATTAAAATCAACTGCTGTGCTATTACGTGCGCGGTTGTCGAACATTCTACTTAATTTACATAATGTATAGTTAAATATGTCTATTGACAGATGTCTAAGTATTTCTGTGTGTATAAATATGTACGTATCTCTATTGTCGGATCCACCCAGGTCTACAATTATTATTTTTCGCGTCCAAGCTGCTTGTCATTTTGTGTCATCAACTCATGACTCATTGTACATCACATTGCCTCATGGATTATTGCAAAAGTTAAACGTAGATAAAGTCTGCTTTGCGTCTTATACCGACTGAATACATTTATGTCTGTACGTCAACGTGTGCATATCAACTTTTCATTCACTCTGTTTACAACATTTCAATTTTACTTACATAATTTACGTTATGGCTTCATGTTAAATCCTACAGTCAGACTTGTAGATTTTTTTGTATATACAGAAAATAAGATTCTATTTCATATTTTGTGTTGATCTGTTGTGTAAAATCGTGTACCAGATAGTGCTATCTCAGTCTTTGTGTCAAAATGTTTAAATTAAATAGTTACAATTATGAACCCCTAGTAACTATTTGATTCGTATAAGAACGATATTTAAGTATAAAGAGCTATGGGGAAATCTAATAGAAACCCAATCTAACAAGTCAGCATAACAAATCGTCATTGAATTACTATATTATAAATCCAAATCTTTTTCAACTCTGTTCTTTATTTTTATTTTTTTTAGCTTCTGCTTTAAAAATGACTTCATCAATTTAAATCATATGTATATCTTTGGTATTTTATATCATGTAATGATAAAATATTTTCTTAAGCCTTGTGTAAGAAAAGTGTCTATATACCTACGTAAATAAATGCATTTTTTATTTTTGAAATAGCTGTAATTAAAATCCATATCACTTATATCTGTGCCATGTCCCCTGAAAGGTTCCAACGAAAAAAACTAGGCTTTAAAATTAAAATAAAATCTTTATTAAATAAAGCTTATTTTAGATATATGTAAATTAAGTAAATTTAATATGCAATAAATATTAAAAACTAATTGATCGTTTTATTATTGGTAAGGAATGTCCCCTCTGCCTTTTGTGAAGCTTTCACTGAAATTTTGCGACTCCTTATCCCCCTCTTCATTTGCAGAGTCATCTGTTTCTACTATAGGACTATTTTTTAAAGAAATCCGACCAGTCTCCGATCCATGAGGTAATTCGGTACTAGAAGTAATAGTTGCACTTTCACTAGTTGAAGTTTTCTTAATATCACCAATTTGTTCAAGTGTGTAGTTTACTGGTGGTGAATTAGTTATAGGTTGGCCATAATCATTGTAGGCCGATATTGGTGTATTCGAAATAGCATTCGTTTTTACATCGTTTCCATCTAGATCTAAATTAAACATATTTTGATTATTATCGGGAGATTTGACATTGGGATCTTTATCTAAAATAGGCGATATAGAAGACTCTTCGCGGGGTAAAGGTGAATTTGTGTGTACATTGGTTTTAACCTGGTTTTCCGGCTCGAAAATTCGATTCGATTTGTTGGAATTATTATAACTGATTTGTTCGTCAAGTAACTGAGAAAGGTGTGCGTCAATGGGCACTTCACCTACAGTATCATTAGCTTTTACAAGATTCACATGTATTATAATGTTTTTATCACTATTACTATTATTAGTATGCACATTATTGGCCTGTCTATCATTACTTTCTACAACATTTATAACACTATCATTACTTTTTACAACAATTACATGAACGTCATTAATTTTCGAGGCATTATCAAGCTGGCTGTATAATGAGGAGTATTTATTTACAGAAGTATTCGAGTTGTCCCGAAGTTTTTCACCGCTAAGCTTTAAATTATGTACATTAATGGATGTTTTGTCTACAGTTGATAGAACAGACGTATTTTTAAGTAATGACGTATCAGTACTCAGTTCGGTATGTAAATTATCTTTCTCTTCCAGTCTACTGTCTGAATGGGATTTATTATGATCAATATGATCGTAAATATATTGAGAAAGAGTTTCACTTTTGGGCAAATCATCACTAGTTTTAACAACATTGGAGCCATTACTTTTGTTTTCAGGAATGATTTCGTCACTTATTTTAATATTTAACTCTTTTGCAGTTGTTTTCAAAGGTGGTAAAATAACATTGTTGATATCAAATGGTGACTGCGAGCTGATTTCATCATTTTCTTTTACTATACCCAATTTATCCGAATGTTTATGGTTAGTTGACGGAGTTATTTTATCTTCCGGTGCGTTATAAATATTATTATTAATTTTACCAGTACTTGACAATTTTGGTATACTGGTTTTACTATAGTTATATTCTGTAATAGGATCAGCATTAATTAAAAAGTCATGAGGAGTCGGAGTAGTCCCAATTGATTTCGATATGTTATTATCGTCCAAGGTAATTTCATCGTACTTATCTTTAGTTGTTACACCTATGTAAACCGGCTTCTTTAGATGCATAGAACGCGACGCAACGGAGTCCAGTGGGACAAGTTTTTGACCCAAATTGTTTCTGAAGTGTTCTGATTCTAAACTTATATATTGTTTGACTTTATATACATTCTCCTGATGTTCTCCTTTGGGAGTACGATATAAGTGGGTTTGAAAAGGAAATACTTTATGAGGCATTTGTTTAAAAAGTTTTGGCAAGTTCGGTTTACTCATAATGTTTTGTTCATCTGTCTGTCTTTCCTGGTAACTCTTAAGAGGCAACCTCTTTTTCAGTGGTGGTGATAAATAAATAGTTTCAAATGGCCTTTTTAAACTATTATATCCATTTATGTTCCTTTGACGAGGAAACTGTTTAATTTCACCTTCATTAATAATAACTGGCTGAATTCTTTTCGGATGTACCCTAAAAGGTTTTATATTTTCTCCAGCTTCATAATGCATACCATTTATTATTGGAACCATAACCTGCAATATGTCACTTTGTGGTTGATTCAATATTCCCGTTGATAGTAGCGTGTACACATTTCGGAATGCACCATCTGTTTCTTTTATGCTTTTCGTTCCAATGTAAGATTCAAAAGGTTTAATTTCTATTTCTTCTCCTGAATTGTTTACAATTGTTAATTCATCAGACTTGCATTTTAATGTTTTGATTAAAATGTCATTAAAACCAGGTATTCTGTAGAGCTCGTATTCAAATTCTGGTTCCAGGATTGGTATTTGTGTTTTTGGAGTGAGACTGTCTCCGAAGAAAGTTGTTAAGATAAAATTCTTGATATATGAGAAGTGTCTTTTAGGTCGCCCATCTGGTGCTGCTGCGGCGATGCTCATCAAAAGCAACAACTGAAATATAAAAATGTTTTCATTTTACTTTAGTGAGGTGTATCAAGAGGAATTATTACGGCTTTTTTTAATTACTAAGGATATTAAGAATTAAGAGCATAGGTACTATTTCTACTTGAACAACTAAAATATTTAGGAAGTACGTAAGTAACATAAAATAAATGCTACAATCACCGCCACTACATCGACAAAACATATTTTTTCTTCTAAATAGGCTTATTTGTGTTGTGCCACTAATGTACAAAAGCTATGTTAATGCCGGATACGCGATTTTTTTTTTTGCTCCACAAACTGTAAAAGCTATAAAGAGTTTTCGCCAATATTAATTGCAATTATATAAGCGACAGCGATAACGATTCACATATACTCCAACAGCAAGACTGTATTGATAAAGTCATACAGTTTAACCGATCGAGCTGATAACATATCCCGACCTAGACCTAATCGATGTTTCATGTGTTTGTCATGGGTTCGATTCCCACCCAGGACAAAATTTGTGTTATGAGCACGATTGTTTGGTCTGTGTCTGGTATAATACGTATGTATTTAGAAATATATAAGTATGTTTATCAGCAGTCTGGTTATCCGCCTCCGCTCCGCGTAGTTTGGGATCAGACTACCGTATGTGAGCTGTGTTAGGTTTATTATTAGTTAGCACAGATATTCTACTCTTGGCAAAGTTAAATGAAAAAAACCAGGAATTTAAAACAACTAATTACACTCAGTATATCAATCTCCAGAATTAAAAGAAAATAAAAGAAAGTACGTATATAAGTATTTTAATAAAGAGGTTATAAAACTGTATGCATTAGATTTTTATCTGATTGCAGAGGTAGGTTATGACTTGTGAGTAGAGGATTCGATCCCGAGATCCGGGATCCCGGGATCCCGGTCATATTTTAGTCCCGAAATTTTCGGGATGAAATTTAATGAATCCCGGGATTTTCGGGATTGATACATTTTTTACATAAGTCAATAAAAATGTGCGTAAAAAGAAACGCACTTGCCTTGATTTGATGTTTTGACAGCCATCTTGTCTACACAGCTGATTTTATTTGTATTTGCTAATGACCGGTTCTGGATTATGCGTAAAAGTGTGTAATTTATAAAGTTTCTGGGCAATTTAATTAAAAAATATGAGTAGGTATCTATAAACATTGGTCTCTTAAGCATATAATTTTTTTTTATATCTAAATAAGTGTAAAGAAGTTGATTTTTTGAAGTTTATTGTAAGTTTCATAAATTATTTACCGCAACACAAAACAAACTAGGCACTAGTTTGTTTATTTTATAAGAAGAAAGTATAATTTTGGTTAACCGCCTTTTTGGAGATTTAAAACTTAAATGTTCTATGTCCTCACAAAACTAAATGATAAACAAAAAAAATATTTTGATATGTTTTACTGTCTTTTTGTTACCACTTTCCATTGCCAATACAATCCCGGGACTATCCCGGGATCCCGAGATTAACTGTAGATAATCCCGAAATCCCGGGATTATAAAAATCGACCGGGATCGAATCCTCTACTTGTGAGTTAGTTGGAAGTAAGGAAACGTTCCCATCACGGAAGACAAAATGGTGAGGGTTCCTTGAGACTTTTTAAACAAAACGACTCGTAATTTTAATTCAATAACTGCTGAGCTTTTTTGAGAAAGATTATATTCTAAAGCATCATTAGTAACTAGAAAATAGAAGAGTAGTTAGAAATAGGTGATGAGTCAGAGTTTAAGGAAATGGTGATTGTGGTAATAATTGTTAACTTTTAGTAGTCGTTATTAGATGCACTTGCGTTAACAATTGATAACGCACACAACTACTTAATTAAGTGCACACTTACCTAATTAAGTGTGCTTTCCGATATGGATTCTTAATTTTCATTAAATATAATTTATTTTTTAATATAAAAATGTTACAAGTAAGCTTGAAACAGTTCAGAGTCATTTTCTCACGTGTTATGATTCGAACGTAATTAACATTTACAAAATTAAACACCTTAGGACATTTACAAAATTATTATGTATTAATAAATGTGTGACTTTTGTAACACTAGAATTCTATTTGTAAACGACACAATATATCTGACTAAAACAATTCAATCGTTTCAAACTCAATGTTACTAACAAAACCGCGTTTTAATAAACCGTTTTAAAACTTATTTAAAGGCGAATCAAGATTTTTATTAGTTAAAGCACTTTTAAACATTATTGCATTTCAAAAAAGGTAAAACTTATGTAATGGTACTTACGGTTGTAACTATACGACACATAATGCACACACACACACGCACAATTATCACTTGTCGAGAAATAGACTTCTTACCATCACTACCCACATCACAGTTTAAAATGACGTATCTTCGGCACCACTAGGATTTATATAACTACCCTTTAATAGAAAAGCGATTAGAGCTATACTACTACTAATATTAATTAATACTATGACTAATATTTTATAAAGAACTAAGCAATTAACAAATTAGTGTTGGAACAAAAAGGCAATTACTTTATTAACTATTCAAAAGAAATTCTGTAATTAAGGATTAGGAGTTAATTGCATGATTCAAAATTTAAGGAATAATACTTTTGGTGAATCCCTTCTTTTATAAATGTTAATTCAGAAGATTTTGAAATTGATTTTTAAACGAACTTCAGTTGTATACAGCTTACATTAAATGGACTAAATAACTGTGTTAATAACTTGTTAGAAATGGTGGCACTATAACTTTATTTCTTTTGTAGTCACGAAGCACGATTTTATCAAATTTTGAAGAGTTAACAAAATAAAAATACAAAACTCATAACCTATATTAAGTAATGATTTGTCCTTTATATAAATAAAAATACTCGGTTTTATTTGATACTTAGTAATTTGTACACATTTTAAAAGGTGCCAAAAAATAGATCCGACACTGAATATTTTTCTAATTATTGTTATATACATATATGTATTAAAAACACACCAAGCATTTTACCATTAACCTGAATTAATTATAAAACTGTCTTCTTTAAATGAAACAAGCCACACAATTGTAATCATATAATATTTATTACAGCTAATGGAAGACAGGAGTTACAATCAGTTAAATGATGTCATCGTGTATGTCCAGCAGTGGACTAGTAAAGGCTGTTGATGATGATGTATCATATGATAGTTCTATAATTATATTCTACTTCTAAAGACTTCATACAAAATAATTGCACCTTCTAATAGGTGGCTTCATAATCTATCATGACTTGTCATTGAAATAATGGTATTAAACGAACAGATTATGAATATAATTTCTCATATCACATTATATTAATATTAAAAAACTAGGTAAATAATATTAATCGTTTACTTAAGTCGTAAACAAACGGAAAAATATTATCAATTCACAAGATAAAAAGCTTTTTTAACTTAAAAATTAATTACCAAAATAAAAAAATGAGTGCAGTTAGCGATAATACATATACAGGGTTACTGGGTAAGTCGACCTAAATACTTTAGAGGGTGGTAGTTGCCATCATTTTTGATAGATTTCACTATGAAATACCATATCCCAAACCCAACCATTTTCAAGATATTTTAGTTTTAAGATTTTTATAAAAATTGTCGAAATTTAGCCCTTTTTTATTAATAACGAAACAGTTTAGTTCAACTTACCCAGTAACCCTGTATACTCACTGTAGTATCCCAGATGGGTTATTCCTTCTGCCAATATAAATATGTCTAAGCATATTTTATTCCATTTGACCGGACAGTTCAGTTTATAAGGTAGTTTATAAGGTAATAGGTAAGGGTCCACCGGATAGACCCTACATGACCCAAACGGGTTAATATGACTGAGCTAAAACACAATAACGCTGCTGTTAATCGTGAAAGTAAATAATATTGTATGAACACTAGTAACTTTGGAGTCTTTACATTACATTATCTCTTTCTGGAACTAGCCTTAGAGAAATATTATCGTAGCGGCTATAAAATAGCAATAGGGTTAGCTTAAGTTATTATTATAACATTTAACTTATTAAATAAACGAAATAGTAACGCAATTTAATCCTAAATTACACTATTTGCTGTGTATATATTTTGTTCGGCAAACTCAATTCAGAAAAACAACAGATATGTTGATTGAGACAAAACTTTGTGACTTATTTTGATAGGAACACAAGTACATAACATAAATTTGTTGAGAAGAGTACTGTTCTATCGCCCACTACAAAAAAGAATAAATCATCAGTTTCTTGACTAGATTGAACTCAAACATGTGTTAAGAAATCGTTTCCAGTTCTCTCTTACCCTATGGAAGAGATAGGACATTTCAGTATTTAGAGGCTAAGTATGTAATAACCTCGATATTCAAGCGCACCAAGGCACTTCAGCATCAAACACATGCCTTGACGGATGCAGGGCAGCGTGAGGTGGATGATGAGGCTGCGGAGACCCGTGGAGGAGCTCACACATGAAGCTAATGTACGTTATCGCTAAACGAAGTGTTTCGATGCGAGAGAGACGCTTTTCGTAAGCGAATGTTGGTACCTGGATGTGGAAAGAAATTGTTTATATCGGAAATACTAGCTCATTTCTAAAACTAAATGTAATCCACACCAAATATTTTTAAATGAAATGTTTCAATTTGTGTTACGCAAGAGTTAAGTCGTTTGTCAAATGGAAGAAACAATGCACCATATTACCTAATATATAAAATTATCTCCATTTTCAATAATTGTTTGTTTCAAAAGTTAACAGATTATTACTATATTTAAGAAAGTGAGGAGATTATGGATTATAATTTATAACTTAAACCCTAAAATATGTTTTTACATAGGTAAGACACTTAAGGATGTCGCTGATAATCAAAGTAAAAATTTTCATTTTATGCTATTTCGTTAGATTCCTGCAAAAAACTAATTATATTAAATCCACAGGTCCTGACGGCATCAGGATACTACACTCCGTCATCTGATAAACATTATTAATTTGTCAATCGTATTTGAAAACGTTATTGAAACCAAAATATTTTAAAATAAATCAAATAAACGTATTAATACAAGAAGAAACTCAAGGCATTGCAATAAAATTATTACTTGTAGTAATTTGACTACAGATGTACAAAACGAACATGTGACTGAATATTAGGTGCCTATGTGTTTAACTTTAGTTTTTTTTTTTTTTTATTTCTATTCCAATTCGTCCTTGATCATGTATTAAACTAAAATTTTCATGTGTAATCTAGATTTAAGGGGTTTTAAGTTTCATTTTACAGCTTTTATATGTATTACCTTACTCATAATATGGTAACGTCAGATGTTATTACGAGTATGTTATCTATTATGGGCATTGTTTATAAGAATGTAGTGTATGTATGTTGTTGGTATATTAAAGAAGTAGTTAAATAAATTAATTTTTGTGTGATGCAACTTTTGTTTAGGCTTAAAGACTCTGCCTAACTTCTTGTCATCGGTTGTTGTCTGACACATGAATTAAATTTCATTTGTCTGGTACCTTTCTACGCAACTTGTCGAAAGCTTCATTGAGGTTGAACATTCTTCTCCTCTCCCGTATGTTGGCGGCCCTGCGTTGAGCCACGGAAGCTACCCGTCGCCGTGGTTTTTTGCCGCCGGGTGGAGCGCGAGAGCTACCGCGCCCACAACCCGCCGACCACACTAGACCGAAGATTATTTTTACTTTAACATTTTGGAAACGTATTTGACCAAGTATATACGCTGTAATATCTTTAATGAAATGTTTGCAGCATACTGCCCTGCTACACTAATTACTTTATGCACCTAAGTTCATGTTGACACCCTTTAGATAGCCTAACCCCACATTGTTTTCACCGAGGTCACCATCTAGCTCTAAATTTCCAAATCAGGCTTCAGTCAAAAAGATGATTATTCCTATAAAGAGTTTACCCATAGAAATACGAGTACATATATTGAAATTGTAATGTGTTGTCGCTTGCTAAGATTGCAATAGTAAACGTGTAATTATTATTAGGTATACATAATAAAATATGACGAGTATATGATCGATATACGAGTATATATCGATATCGAGTTCAGTAAATCCAAGTTTGCCTTAAACGATCTTGTTATGAGGCAAATTCATGGCCAAACCCTTTTTGCTACTGAAATATGAAAATATTTTACTATATTAAGAACGATGATTATGAACGATATTAAGCACGAGAGATAAAATGAACCTAAAATGATTTTTCATACTTGTGGTATCATTTTTTTTAAAGTATTGAAAATGCCGACTCACCTAGGTCGGCTGGCGGAAAGGCCAGGATGTCTGGATAAGGCACTGGTGCTGGTGGAGCGTCCCACAGCGGCCCGTAGGGTGACACCTCGCTGCCCTACACATAATAACGTTTTAATTGAATAATTGCCATGGTTTGTTTTAAAATCTGTAATAAATTTACATAAAAGGGAACATAATAATATGCTTTCAATAACAAGTGGTTACAATTAACCAAGTCGACGACGCTTACTTAATTTATTATCTTTTTTTAATTACTTGTTATTTTAATTTTTATTTAAATATTATTATAACTAAACTCTCAAGTATTTTTTATTCTTTAATTTCTATGCCTATAACTTTTGATGTTTGTGGTACCTAATTTGTATCACGAGTAATCTACTCGTTACAAGCACAAGTTACAAGCATCTATTGTCTGTGTGCCATAGCAGCATCATATCTTACCTACCACGATTACCTTATTATTCACCTTATTAAAATGGTCTTTCTGTGTTCTGCTAAGTTTCAAGTTAAGTTACCACAAAACATTCGGAATGAAGTTTCACATGTTGAAAATTCCTAATTTCTGAACTCATCCTCTTACAGTTATTGTTGAATTTTCATTATCTTTTCAATTACCAGAAAGCCTAGTTTTATAAGAATACAATTAACACAAGCATTGAGAACACAAGCAAGAGGAATTTTATCTCGTCCTTGTGGTGCCAGATTATTAATACTGAGTGTCACCACCCTACCAAATCCTATACCATCTGACCAGCGTGATAAAGTAAGCTAAAACCTCCTTTCTAAGAAGAAACTTATGTCCAGCAGTGGACTATTAAAGGCTTTTAATAATGATGAAAGACATTTTAGTTATATGTAAGTATCATAATTTGCTTCTGGAAGGAGCTTGGTTGGCTCACCTAGCTAACCAGTCCTCGACGCATAAAGGACCACTCTTGAGTCTAAATGCGGAAACCGAAGCCCACAACCAATACCAAGTATCAACTCCAAGAACTGTTCATAGTTCGACATGGCTGAATGCACATGGAATTCCAACATTCGTTAGCTCAGAATCCCAGAACCAGGAGGCCAATAACTATGGAAAGTTTCTTCATCGTGACTTCCTGTGCAAAAACGTCGATACATAAAAACAGGTCTCTAATAGGCTTTCAATTTGTTCTAAGCGCGTCTCTTGAAATAAAAGAAGGTTGCCAAAGCCTACCTACCCAAGTTATTAGGCTTCATGTTAGAGTTTGAGTTGGTTCCTAAGCGGTATACTTACGTAGTAATATCAAGAGCAGATGGTATCATGGCTTTTGCACTGATAGAATATGAGGTAAATAGCTGCCTCAGTACAGTACTTTGAAAAACCTACTACAATCAATCAACTTACACACATGAAGGGCTATGTACGTGAAGCCGAAGGAAATATGACTATCACACAAGCGCGTATTATATAGATTTATGCAACTTTTTTAAGTTGATAGCTAATCCAAGTAATAACTCCTGGCGACTAATAGGCGGCTAAATTCGGCCGTGTTTACAGGGATTTCATATTAAAAGCAATTGTCTTTAATCGTCCTGTGTATTGAGTAGAAAACTTGTACACTACGGTATGTTGAATTTTCAGAGAGTAAATCCCAATTTCAGAATTTGCTTACTTAAAAGAAATCTTAACCCATAGAAGCGGACATTACATAACTAACCCTCCTTTCCAAGTGTGCTTAAAATACTATTTCATTAAAGAACAATCGGCGTATTGTATGTGTTCAATATTTTTGGCATCATATTAGGAAATTATAATCAATTGGTAAACTTATTATGATTTCTTTAATATTATATTTAAGACAAACCAGATCGTTGTTTGTAGAACAACGTTGTTGCAAGTCATGAAACATTTTTTTTTTTAATTTACTAAATGTTTATACTAAAAATAGGAATTTAGACATATAGATACTAACTGCTGAGCTGCTCCAAACGTGCGGCGTCTCGCTGCCGTAGGACATCAGCGGGAAATGAATCTTGATACTTTTGCACACACACCCAGTAGAAAAGACACACCACCCCTGGGCCCCTCAGCACTCACTCACCAAGTACCGGAGGTCTGAGTCGACCAGAGCCCGCCAAATATTAAACTCAACTAAATGAAATTATTATATCTCCACGCTATACACAAATATGATCATCTTAGTTTTATTAATGTTTTAATACAAACAATTTAGAACCTAAATCACACGCTGTTAAGGTCGAAATATCTTCGTTTGGTATCTAAAATCACCCCTTACCATAGCACCGTCAGATTTCTCGTACCAGATTGGCCAATGTAGGGGTGAGATGAGGTCGGTCTGTTCTGATTGGGTGCAGCAGGTACTGTAGGCGGACCTTGTGGATTAATGTTGTCAATTTTGCACGGAAACAGCTTTTTCTACTCAAAAGGTTAGGAAATCTGTAAAACATTCCTGTCTTCGATTTATGCTTAGAAGTACCTAACAATGTTTAATAATCAAATCAATAATTCAATGAACAAGAATATCTTATGTTCTAAATATTGTTGGTTAAAAATTTTCAAGAATATATCCATGAAGCTTGACATGACAGACAAATAAATAAACTTGTTCTAAATTATTATATACTCATAAGTTGTCATGTGCATAAGCACATGACAACTTACTCAACTACTTAGATAATTATCTTTGAATCGAATCATACATACGTGTTCAATACAATAACATTTTTAGGATGCTGATGCGGCTACCACCCTACTGCAGTGCGTCTGTAATATTTGCTGAAGAACATACGGATAGCTATCAAGCCAAAATACGTAAAAAAGTCTTTTCATTGTTAATACGTATGAGAGTCATTAGCAATAGCATCCTAAAAATATAATCCAATTCATTGTAGGTTAATTCAAATAATAACAGGACAGGACTAAATTTATATTGTTTTAATAAATTAATTTTACTTATTTAACTCAATGGTTTGATTTTATTCATTCATTGCTTACCTTCTTCTTCACCTAATGCCATGAGGCATTCTCTCCCAGTCAATCTTCAGGTTTTTATCTAGTTTTCAAGATACCATTCTAGACTTAGTGGTGTTCAATTACGTTTTATTTTTTAAGACAACTCCCGCATTAGATATATATCCTATGTCGCGGGGGACTTTAGAAACATACATGAAACTGACACAACGAACACCCAGACTTAGAACAACAATTTGTGGATCACACAAAGTGTCATCCCATGTGGGGTTTGAACCAACGACACTCGGCGTAGTAGGAAGCGGCGTGGCGACCACTTAAACCACTATACCATCCGTGCAGTCGAAGTTTGATATAATTTAGAGTTTGATAATACAGTTCTTAGACAAGAGAAGGAACGACATTGTATGTGTCAAACCCCAAACAACGCATACGTACATTAACAAATTTTATCCCTTCTTAGCAACATATCTATATAATAAGATAAACAAAGTTTTGAAAATATATGCCGTATCGTATACAAAGTGTCAAACTCTAGTAGGAGAATATTTAGGTAAGCTTAACTACGCAGACACAGAAAACATTTTAGCAATTTTAAAATGATCTAATTTAAACTATAATTAGGTTATTAAACAATAAGTAATATATATTTGTATATACAGTCTGAAGTAATTTACGTTATCAATCTATTAGAACTTTAACCTTTGAACGTCCTGTAACTAACATAGTCAAGCGACTGCCTAAAACACAGATCTTACACCGCCGTGGCCGTTTGTAAAATATTTTTTAATATTTTGTTTTTACCTCGTTATATTCAATCTTGCACATTTTAGAATAGTCATATACCTACTAGTTTTATGTAAGCTTTAATAACAAACTTTATATTACAAAAAAAAAAGTATAAGAATTTAATTAAGAAGAATATATGTATAAGAATATAAAAAGACTAAAGATGAAAATCATATACAAAATGTAACCTAGATTTTATTCTGATTCTGTAAATATTTTTATTTTTTATTTTTTTAATATAATTTATAAATCTTAGGTAAATGTATGCTGTTCTAAATTAGAAACTATTAGATAGAAAAGTGCCGAGATTTGACTTAAAATTATAGAATAAAACTGAGTCATAATGCACCTGCACTAACTAGAAATAATTTAAAAGCCATTGGCTAATCTTTTACCGATCATATCATATTAGGCAGATAGGCGTGACCCGAGGACAGATGGCAGATTTGTCACGCCATCCTTTGTCCTATTTAGAACATAAATTGACGATATTTGTCAATTTTGACGCGAAATTGGTGCGCATGGGGTAAATCGGATTAAAGCCGTCGGAGGGAGCGATATAGAAATGTTAATTTTTGGATTTTCAGTTAACAAGTGTGCTATTTGTAAAACTTTGGTTTAGTTAGATTGTAGCGGTAACGTAATTATTAATGCAACGGACTGACACTGGAGTACCTAATAATTGAACTGATTTTAACCTCTCTCACCTACACGTTAAGTAGAATAAGATAACAGTAATAAATGTGCGACACCTGTTGTTAGTGTTGTTTATTAAGAAAATTTAAAAGGATTGCGACTTCCCAGCAACTGGTTCTTTGAGTTATAGGCGTGCGTGCATGTTACACTAAACCGGGGAAGAGTAAGCTATATTTCAACATGCTGTAGTACGGAATGGCACCGCCTCTGTGTTTACGCTCTGAATCAAATCTCATCAACGGCCTTTAATAGTCCACTGCTGGACATAGGCCTCTCCTTGGAAAGGAGGTTATTTCCTGCTATACCACGTTGGCCAGACGAGTCGGTATAGGTATAGTACCTATAGGTATTATACAGGTCCAAAAAAACCACGTATCCCTGAATGCTGCACCATTCAAAGCTTCTTTTTTATTGTATCCTCAAATATGAATGAATCGAACGGACAGTGCTAGCTAGTTATTTAATTATCACTCCATTAACAATTAACACATGGTTATGGAGAAATAATGAGGTTTATTATCCCCATCGTTATTTTTTTTTATTTTAATACTTTATGCACAAGTATGGGTTGTACAATGGCAGACTTAATGCCACAGGCGTTTTCTCGCATTCTATCTTAGGGTGGTGCCGAAATGTGTGACTAGCACTGGAGATTGATGTGTCAGGTAAGAGAAAATTATTGAGAAGTTAGACAGAAACAATGAGATAAATATACATACATACATACGTACCAAATAAATACTCATACATAAATACCTACCTAGTTACATACATACATAAACCTACATAGATATTGATAATATATAAAACTTTAAGGTTGTAACGAATCCGCTAGTGTCCAGAATGTGAGCTCGAACTTTCATTTGAATGAGAGGCGGCTGGGTGGAACGAGGAGTGGACATAAGCGGAAGTATGATTGGGGCATAGCAGAAGAGGCTTGATCGATGAACGGTTCTATCGTGGTTGGAACACAGATATTGGAATGAAGATATCAATCAGGTAGGAGGGGGAGATGGGTGAGTTGAGAATAGGATAGAGGGTGGTGAGGGCGGTCAGCTGACAACGCTGACGAATAGTGAACCAGTTCAATTCGCGACGAAAGAAGGAAGCATGGTCACATTTGGTTGAAGACGAATCGAATGCAATTTTTCAGAAGGCGGTCACATTTATTGAGTAGATCTGCATTCAGGTCATAATAGCATACATCAACATAATCCAAGATGGGGACAATAAGGGTCTGTACAAGCATCGCTTTGGTCTCGGAGGGGAGGAAATTCTTAAGCCGTTATCTCATTTATAGCTTTCATTCATCAATCCTCGACTGGATTTTTCGGTACGGACAAAGGTGAATGCCATCCCATCAATTTAACGATTTTGTTGGATAGTCGGATTTGAGACCTACTTTCTAATCTTGTCTTATCCGTTAGCCCATGGACTGCCTAACATCACTTATCATCAGCAATAATAAATAAGATGGGGTTTCCTTGAAAACCTACAAGATGCTGACTCTAAAGTTGTCTTAGTTGTACCCTCTCTCTATCTCTCTCTCTGTTTGTTTGTCTCTCTCTTTATTTTATCTTCCATCAACGTTCAAAAAATCAATCGTTGGATAAAGCGAAGGCTTTTGGACTGCTTCTGTACTTTTACATTGTTGATTTTTAAGTTACACCAAAGTCAGAACACTCAACTTTTAACGAGGGCCCGTATTTTGAAAGGTGTCTCAGTCGTGAATCTAGTCTTAAAACTAATTTTAAGTAGAGATTTTATTATTGAATGTCACTTAAAACGAGATTCACCGATCCATACTCAAGTGAGTGAGAGCTTATTTTAGAACGATGTTTATGTCAAAATCTTCACTCAGGTATAGATTTTGACAGGTGTGATCATTGTTCACCTGAGACAAGCTGAAACTATTCTCAAGCAGTGATAAGTGCTACTAAAGTAATATTTTAGTGGAAAATGAATATGTTTTACGATGATTTGTTTCTGGACAGTCACGAAAGATTTTTTAACTTGGATATCCCAAATATTCCACGCAGATATTTACGCGATGCGCAAGACCCATACGCAATGAATGAGATGGATTTTAAAATTAGATACAGGTTTCATCAAGAAACTGTGAAAAATTATATCTTACCAATAATTGCTGGTGATCTGGTAAAATTAAATAAAAGAGGGCTACCATTAGCCCCAGAACTGCAGATTTTAATATGTCTGAGGTTCTATGCCACAGCCTCATTCCAGGTAAATCAGTACTTTGATGTTAGTTTAAAAAGAAATAAATTTTTAATCAAAATAGTTTTGTTTAATATTATTAAAATTTATTTTATTTTCAGATAGTTTGTGGTGATCTACTACATGTATCACAGCCAGCAGTCTCAAATGTTATAGCCAAAATTTCTTTGTTATTGGCACAAAAACATCATCAATTTA